TCTCTCTCTCTCTCTCTCTCCTCTCTCACTCTCTCTTTAAAAAAAAAAAAAAAAGAAGCTATAAAAAGCTGCAGCTGGGCACAAGGGCGCACGCCTATCATCCCAGCATCTCGGGAGGCTGAGGCAGGAGGATCGCAAATTCAAAGCCAGCCTCAGCAACTTAGCCAGACTCTGTGTCAATATAAAAGATACAAAGGGCTGGGGATGTGGCTCAGCAGTCAAACACCCCTGGGTTCAATCCCAGTATCAAAAAAGGGAAAAAGCAGAGCTACCCAGCCAGAAACACAGGTACTTACTGCCTCTCTCGAAGAGCCAATAGCAAATTTCCTTTTGCTGATGATCTTTATGGCGACTTTCTTACATGTTTTCCTCTCAAAAGCCAGTTTTACCTCTCCACAAGCACCACTAAAAGGAAAAACAGAGTGATATGGGGGATGTTTTTAATCATGAGACCCACCGTGCCCATCTTCCTCTACCATTAGAAGTTAAGATAGTCTGTATAAACAACCCTTTTACTGTCCCTATTTTCAGAGGACACAGTGAAACCTCACCAAGGTGAAAGGTAAGTGGGGCATCCAACCACACTGAGTCAGCTCCAAATACCAGTTCTGAGCTGATACAGAATTAATCTTATTACAGCCCCAAATTATGAAATGATCAGAAAGACAATTTAAAAAATGAGAAATTTATCTCAGAAGTCAGAGACATCCACTGCAAGAGTCATCGCAGGTCAAAAAGGAACCCTCCAAACAAGAAAACAGAATCTGTACATGAATTACTTTCGTTGGTGCATTTCTCTGTCCTCACTCTCTGTCTTAAAAGGAAAGTGAGGGGCTGGGGAGCTGGCTCCATGGTAGAGCACTTGCCTAGCATGCGTAAGACCCTGAGTTCCATCCCCAGCACCAGAAGCAAAAAAAAAAAAGAAAGTACAGTTGGGCATAGGTGGCACATGCCTTTAATCTCAGTAATGGAAGGCTGAGGCAGGAGGATCACAGTGTGAGGCTAGCCTCAGAATTAGTAAGACCTGCAGTAACTTAGTGAGGTCTCAAACTAAAAAAGGACTGGTGATGTAGCTCAAAGATAAAGCCCTTGGGTATGGGGGCGRGTGTACATAAACAGTTGATTTAGCAAGAACTGCTTTCTACATCAAATCCAAAAGTATTGCACAATTAACCTGCTTGCTCTCCTACAGGATTTCAAATTAATTGGGATACTACTAACAAGGAAGGAATGCTTATCCAGGACGTCAGGCAACACACTCTTAATCCTAAGTAGGATCAGTTCTCCAAAGCCTGGCTCAGCCCAAGGTAACAGCTATCAAAGTATCAATCATCCATTATCTGCCTGAAATGGATTATTAGACTACTATAACTACCGTTGGTTCTGAAGGAGTGAGGTGAGGGGTTTACCAAGACACTTTTTTGTTTTATTAAATGTACATGACAATTTACCAGTCATTTTATGTCTACAACTTGGTCACATGAAGTATATTCACAATGCTCTGTAACCACCACCATCTAGTTCCAGAACTTTCTCATCAGCCTAAATGAAAACCCCATACCTGTTACACAATGAAGCAGTCACTTCCCATTCTCCCCGTCCCCAGCAACCACTAATCTGCTGTCTCCACTGATATGCCTATTCTGAATATCTCACAACGATGAAGTCATATCCTGTGTGGCCTTTATTTATGTATGTATGTATGTTTGGGTGCTGGGGACTGAACCCAGGGCCTTGTGCTTGTGAGGCAAACACTCTACCAACTGAGCTATATCCACAATCCCCTGTGTGTGGCCTTTTGTGTCTGGGTTCTTTCACTTAACATATGCTTTCAAGGTTCATCTAGGCTATAACATCTATCAGCACGTTATTCTTTTTTTCTCTCTTTTTTTTTTTTTTTTGAGACTGGGTCTCACTATGGTACCCAGGCTAGTCTCAAACCCATAACTCAAGTGATCCTCCCAAGGAGCTAGAACACACACTCAGGTCACACACAGGCATAACATAGCATCGGGCTACTTCCTTCCTTCTTTTTTCCTTTCTTTTCTTTTTTTTGGTACTAGACATCTAACTCAGGGGCACTTGACCACCGAGCCACATCCCCAGCCCTATATTGTATTTTATTTAGAGATAGGGTCTCACTGAGTTGCTTAGCACCTCTGTATTGCTGAGGCTGGCTTTGAACTCACGATCTTCCTGCCTCAGCCTCCCTCCCCAAGCTGCTAGGATTATAGGCATGCGCCACTGCCCCCAGCTTCATACCTTCTTATACCTGAATGATCTACCATTATGTAGAAATACCACTTCTGGTTTAACCAGCTATCTTTTGATAGACATCTATTTGGGGGTTTCTACTTTTTGTGAATAGTTCCTTAAACTCTAAGTATAAGCAACAAAAGAAAAATGAAAAAATGATAATTCATCACTGAGATAAAGCTCTTATAAACATTTGGGTACATGTTTTTATTTGTACACMTGCCCATAGTGGCCTCAAACTTGAGTTCCTCCAGCCTCAGCTTCTCAAGATGCTAGGAGACAGGYGTGCACCACCATGCCTGATCTCAAATTCAACTTCTAGTACAGGAAATATCAGTAGATTTAGGCCACACAAACCAAGCTCTTTGTGCTCCTTAATGGTTTATTTATTATTTTTTAATTGTTTTTCAGTGCCTGGAATAAAACCTTGGGCCTCGTTCATGCTAGCTAAGTGTCTCCCTCTGAACCACATTCACAGCCCTTGCCTCAGTAATTTTTAAGAGCTTAAAGGGTCTGAATCTGAAAATCTTGAGAACTTTGCCCAAGGTTACATTCAACAGTTGTATTACTTCATGTCCCAAGATGGTACAAATTCTGAACAGTGCAGAAATATAATAATTGTGGGTTTGGGGAAGGTGATAGAAATGTTCTATAACTGATTATGGTGATAGTTTCACAACTCTGTGAATATAGTAAAAACCACTAAATTGTACCCTTTATCATGCTGGGAATTGCACCTAGAGTCTCATGCTAAATTGTACAACCAATTTAAAAGAATGAATTGGGCCTGGGGATAGGGGCACGGTACTGGACTATGGTGCATCAAGGAGCCCAGGACTACAAAAAAAAGAAGAAAAAAAAAAAGGACAAATTACATGGTATATGAATTATAGTTCATTAAAAGCTGCTTTTAAAAAGTTATCATCAAGCCTGGTGTGGTAGTGCATGCCTGTAATCCTAGTGMCTCAGGAGGCTGAGGCCAGCCTCAGCAACTTAGTGAGGCCCTAAGTAACTTAATGAGACCCTATCTCAAAATAAAAACCTTAAAGGTCTAGGGATGTAGTTCAGTGGTAAAGTACTCCTGAGTTCAATTCCCAGAACCAAAAAAATAAAGTTGTCAATAAAATTTGTAAGGAAAGAGTTCTTTTCAATTGATCATCACCATATCAATCAATAATATACCTATCACAAATAGTTTCCCTACAACTATATTATGAACAGATTATGAATGTCATAAAATCAGGAATGAAAAACTAATGACAAACGTATAGGAAAAAAGTGAACTTCAATTTATATAAGAAAAAAACTTTACCTTCCAAGAGTTTTTGACATGATGTACTCATCTCTTAACTCCTTAGGATAAACTGACTGATCATCTACAGTCAGATCCAAAAATACAAAAACTAAGGGGATAAAAAGGGCAGAAATGTGCTTATTAATTCATAACAACTGGAAAATTAATTAATTCTAAAATATAGTTATATGGAATAGTAGACAAATGTTTTTGATTATATTTAACACATAACCCTGAAGGAATTATTTAGCTAGGCAAAGGCATGTTATAAAACCCCTGAGAAATGATAATCAAATATCATCCTTCATTGGAAATACACAGCATTGAGCTCACAATAGTACARGAAACGTATAACATAATGGCTGCTCACATTCATTGACCTCGGAATATTAATTAATTGCACTAATACAAAATACCCATGCAGCTTACCACAGGCCCAGAACAAAAAAGCAATTAATTTAAAAACAGGCCAGTACTGACCACACTCATATTATCCTCTCTCAGACATTTCTACCTCGACCTATCTGGTATTTTATGGTACAAACCATCTTGAACCTATTTGTAAAGTTAAATAGCATTGTCTAAACTAATCCCTTTTATTTCTACATTTTTAAGGCTGTATCKCAAAAAATAAAATCACTCATTTAGGGAGATTCGAATGGCAGATTAGAGGATGCATTCCTAGTTGCCCAAGATTCAAGCYGCAGGAGTACTGCTTCTCAAGTGCTTGGGATTAGACCCGGACTTTGTGCGTGTGCTAGACAAGCACTCTCTCACTGAGCTACATCCCCAGGCCTCACATTTTACTTTGCCTTAATATATAATTTATACTAGTTTGTACATAAGAAACACATAACACTACATTTCCACTTGTCCCATCCATACTTTGTAGTATTATCACCGTATATTTTAAAGCTACATGTTGAAATGCCCTCAATATAACATTTGCATTAAAAATAAATAAAACTGTTCATTTAATAATTCAGCAACCCCATCAATGCCAAATGTGCATTCAATTATGAGACACCTCATTTCTACAAAGCCACCAATAATAAATTTGTACTTGCCTATAATGTTGTGTTGTTGTTTTTGGTTTGTTTGTTTGTTTTTTAATATTGTTAGTTATGGATGGACACATGCCTTTAGTTTTTGATGTGGTGCTAGGGGTCAAACCCAGTGCCTCTTGCATGCTAGACAAGAGCTCTCCCACTGAGCCACAACCCCCGCCCCCTATAATGTTTTGAAAGAGTGAAATTGGTTAAGACCCTTGAGTTTCTGACATTTCAGGTGAAGGGTTTGGCCCTCCCTACAACAACCTTAAAACCCAGCCTCTGGCACAGACCCCAGTCACCTGAGTGATTCCAGGCTGAGGAAAAGACAGTGGGAGCTGACACTTCCCTKATGTCCACCCAGGGACGAATCCCCCTTTATGCCTGTGGCTATTTATGAACTTATATGTTCCAGTGGCATCTGAAACAGGGGAATTTGAGGGTTCTAAGAATGCTTTTCTCCTCAAATGTCAAGGTCTGCTTCAGAGACTACAGTTTCCCACACAAACCAGGAAGGGAAATGCACCCAAGTTTAGCTGGGTTGAGTTTAAGGTTAAGATGGAGAAGTGAGGATTTTAACAGGGAAACAAATCCCCCAACCAAAGGAGGCAGCCTCTACTCAGAGCCTGCAGATCCCCAGGTCGCAGGTCTGTAGGCTCGCCGCAGCCAACTTAAAAAAAAAAAAAATCTAAACTTTCAAGTTATAAAAATTGGCAAACACCTAATAAAATGTCTGTAAGCCAAGAAATAATAACAAAACAAAATCAGAAATAAAATACAAAACAAAAAAAGGAAGAAAGAAACCATCTGTTGGCTAAATGCAAGTTCACAGAGCACCTGTTTKGTCTACATTATCAGGGCCACCTTTGACCTATATGACATCTTTGTTCAAATTAGAAAAAATGAATAGATCTGTTCTACAACAACCATAGTTAATAATGACATGCTATCTTCTTGAAAATCACTAAAATAGATTTTAAGTATTTTTATCACAAAAAAATGTTAATAATGTGAGGTAATTGTGGGTGTCAATGTGAACTAAGTATATTCACATACTTTTTTTTTTTTTTTTTTAAGAACCAGAGCTTGAAGACAGGGGTGCTCAACAACTAAGTCACAACCCTAGCCCTTTTGAATTTTTTTACTTTGAGACAGGTCTCACTAAGTTGCTGCGGCTGGCTTTGAATTTTAAATCCTCCTGCCTCAACCTCCTGAGCTGCTGGGATTATAGGCATGCATAAAAACTGTACATACATATGGGATACCATGTAATGTCTCAATACATATATACATCATGCTGTATACATATACTAAAACATCATATTGTATGTGACAAATACATACAGTTTTATGTCAAATAAAACAAACTAAAGTTTTTCTCATTATTTAAAAAAGAAAAAATTTAAAAAGGTGTCCCTTAGATGACTAGGCAAAAGGTGGCACACTGCCTGACCAGAAGAAACCCAATGTTATCCCAACTGTTCCTTCTGCTAGGTGACCAAAAAAAGCAAAAACTGCCGTTACCCCAATTATAAGAATCAGACAGAACACAAAGTAGTCAGAAACAGGGAAAACTGTCAATCATAAAATGCAGTTTTGGAGACTAGGATAGCTCAGTGTGTGTTACAAGCACAAGGTCCCAGGATCAACTGCACACCAAAAATAATTAGATGCACTTTACGATGCTTAATATAGTTACAGTTCCCAGATGTCAGTCTGAAGATGACTGCACAAGAATCACCTTTTTAAGGACTCCCCCCACACACACAGTACTAAGAATCAAACCCAGGGATGTTCTACTACAGAGCTACACTCCCAACCTTTCCTTAAATTTTGAGGCAGGGTCTCACTAAGCTGCCCAGACAGGCCTTAAACTTGTGATCCTCCTGCCTCAGTCTCTCCAAGTAGCTGGGATTACTGGCATGTACAACCATGCCAGGCTTTGTTGTGATTTTTCAAAATATTTTTTTTAGTTGTAAATGGACAAAATAACTTTATTTTATTTATTTATTTTTATGTGGTGCTGAGGATCAAATCCAGTACCTCACAGGTGCTAGGCAAGTGCTCTACTACTGAGCCACAACCCCAGCTCCTGCTATGATTTTTCAAATATCTAGAACTACTGGATCAAAGTCTCTCTCTGTCTCTCTCTCACACACACACAAATACACACAAATTCATTCTCTCTCTCTCTCTCTCTCTCTCTCCAAGTCATTCTGCTCTCAGATGGTTTCTGGGAAGTTCTATGGTTTATTAATTAAAGATGAAAAGTTTTCCTGAACTAGGGCTGTGGCTCAGCGGTAGAGCTCTCACCTAGCATGTGTGAGGCCCTAGATTCGATCCACAGCACCACAAAAAATAAAATAAAGATATTGTGTCCATCTATAACTAAAAAACAAATATTAAAAAAAAAAGTTTTTCTCTTGCTCCAAGATTTGAAATCACTATGAGCTACTTTTAATTCTGCAGGTCAATTATCAATTTTTCTTATCAATCATTCTATYCAGACTCTGCCCTAAGTGACAACTGTTTGTTTTAGATAGGATATTCATGAAATTTCATAAGTGAATGTTTTTAAAATGTCTTATAAAATTTATAAAATGCTACCTGATAACAATCAACAGCTTCAGTTGCACAAGACCACTATGTGGTATTTAAGAAGGTGGGCTGGAGGTGTAACATACTGGCAGAGTATTTGCATGGACCCTGGGTTTGATCTCCAGAATCACAAAAGAAAAAAGAACAGAAAGCTGAGTGCTCTAAATTGAGCTCTTAGAGAAACACTCAGCCTAATTCCTGGCATGTAAAAGGAGCTTAAAGAGTGTAAGCAGAAATGCATGAATGGAAGAAATGAAGAAAGGAAAGATGGGACCGGAGTAGTGGCTCAGCGGTAGAGCACTTGCCTAGTATGTGCGAGGCCCTGGGTTCRATCCTCAGCACCACATAATAATAAATAAACAAAATAAAGGTATTTTAGAAAGGAAAGAATGAGGGAGGAAGAGAGAGAGAGGAAGCAAGGGAGGAGAGAGGGAAGGAGGATGAATTAATAGCCTCCAACAACAATAACACATATATCTAAAGCAGATATGGCATAACAATCAATCAAAGAACTGTAATTTATTTTAACCAATAAGATAATTCAATTGACAACACATGGCTTTAAATAAAGCCAATCAAACCTAAGAAAATCTGTCTGGATAGAACTTTTTCATGATTTAAAAAGGCAACTAGGGCAATAGAATTAAATCTTGCATGCTAACTGAATTTTGCTCACTTAAATGGTGCCCTATAAATTCACAAAGTTAATTTTCCTTTTACACAGGAGGGGAAAGAAAATCCAGTAAACATAAGATAATAATGTTACCTTTATTTCTACATAGTGAAAGAGCAATTTCAGAATTGTTACTCAAAGGACGGCGTTTTCCTTTCCCTACAAGTTCTGTGTTTACAAAGGTTCCGTTCCCACTGTGATCCTCTAGGTAGGCGATGTAAGAGTTTTTAGGACCCATTTCCTAAAATAGAGAACATTTTATTTCGAAGTTTAACAGCCGGGATTTATAGTTGGAAGACATCCAAGAGCAATGACCAGATTACCAGCTCTCCCAAGTATACGGACATTTGTCACTTACCCTGAAAATCCGGAAGTGCTTCTTGCTATACGTCCGGTATTTATTTGTCGTTTTCAGCAGTGGTTCATCAAAACAATAGTCACAGCTTTTATCCCTTCCAAACCAGTAGCTGTCATTAACACACTCTGCAATACAAAAGCACATGCTGGAGCTGTTACATTGCAAGTATCAACATCTTTAAAAATTGCCCATAAAATCTACTTGTAGGAAAACAGCCTGAGGTGGCAATCTATAAATTTGATTATCAAAAGTTTATAAGATTAAAAATTCGAGGGGAGGAGCCAGAGGGTATAGCTTAGTAGCACAAGGCATACTTAGCATACTCAAAGCCCTGGGTCAATCCCCAGCAGGACTCCCCATCCCCCCAAAACAAAATAATTAAAAAACTCTGCATGGGTGGGGAACACAAAATTCTACGATTTAATAAGGAATGGCTAATCTATAACCATGAAGCAACATGCAGTCATTAAAACTTAGTAATTTTAATGACTTGGGAAAATACTATATAATAACTTCTGCTCAAATTCCCATCCTAAGGCTTCCTACCACATTTAATATAAAAACTATGCTCTTCCTTATGGCCCGATTGATGCTCAGGGTCTGGCCTCGCCTCCATTCCAGCCTCACCTTGGACACCTATTCCTTTGCTGGCTACACCCAGTCCCACTAGCTGGGAGAAATTTGTTCTGTGGCCTTTCCCTAACTACCCAAAGGCTCATTCCCTATTGCTTTTTGTGTCTGGCCTCAAATATCATCTCTCATTCAGTTTTCTATATAAGCAGCCTCCCATTTCACCATCCACTTGTCAGGATAATGTACCCTGCTTTATTTCACTCTACATACAGGCCATAACTGGAAGTTATCCCACCTTCCCCTGAGAGAACATAAAGCCTAGCGGGCAGCATGGGACTCTTTTTTTTTTTTTTTAGATTTTTTTTTTTTTTTAATATTTATTTCTTAGTTCTCGGTGGACACAACATCTTTGTTGGTATGTGGTGCTGAGG